AACATCATACAAATGGAGTAAAGAGCACTAATTTATCCTCAGAGACCCTGAAGACACCCCTTCCCCAGGGTTTGTAGAGATTTGTTTTGTGTGCTGTGAGTGGTTGATGTAGTCTTGTCATTGTTAATAATTTGTATGTGAACACTATTATTTGTACAGTTGAATTAATTTATTTTCAGACATCATCCTTTTTTTTTTTCCTGGAAGAGTTCAAAGCACACCAAAGAATTATATTATATACATTTTGGTGAGAGATTGTCATTTATGACCTACGATTTATTTAAAAAAAAAAAAAGGAAAGAAAATGGGAAAAATATATTTTTAAGCTTACTTGAATGAACAACGTAATGTGAAACCAGGACTCTTCCTGCATGTCTTCTGCATTGTGATGAGATTATAGAGTTTAGAGAAATATTCTATCACTAGTACAGTGCATGGTGCTGTCACTCCGAAAGCCTCTCAATGTCGTCTTCAGATTGTTACGGTGACTATGAAACATGCAGACCCTCCTTTATAAAGAAAAAGACCATAACACTTGAATATAAAATAATTCTACGTCCTTAAAGTTTATGTGATCTTCGTATTCATTTTCAAAGCTCTTTCAAATAGACAAGATGAGGTGTGAACTTTGGGGGGGATAATTTATGTATCGTAAACTTATTCAAACAAAATATTCCTGATTTATAATGAGTTGTTTTATTTATACAACTTTTTCAATGGTAGTTTGCACTATTCTTTATTATGCTACAGGTTTATTTATTATGAAACAAAGGAATATGTATTTTATGTATTTTGCCATGCATAGGTTAACTCTGCCACAGATTTACTGGTTCCTGATACACTTAAAGTAAAAACTTAAAATGTGTACCTCTGATAGAAAGCAAGAATGATTATGAAGTAAAGAGTTTAATAAAAGTATTCTTCCTATGTATCGCTTATGTTTTACATGATGGCACATCTCTGCCATTCTCTTTCAAGCAGAACAGGTTGCTTATGCAGTAATCATTTGGTTTTCTTCCCTTGATCTCTATCTCTTTACCCTCCCCAAGCAATCAAATAGGTTTACAGCTTGGTTTAATTTACAATCTAATCTAGAAAGTACAGTATATTTATGAAGACTAAGCCCTGCAGGTTGCACAGAACAGTAGCATAAATCTTAAGGGTTACTGCGTGCATTTGTTAAAATTAATAATACCCTTAGTGATCCTAACCAGTGGAGAGCTGGAAAGCAAATTTTAGCGTTTTTTGCTGTCCAGCCTCATTCTGAAGAAAAAGGGTAACAAAGAATGAGGAAAAGATGGAGAAAAGGACTAGTGAGATGTCTGCAGACACAAAGAAGGTGAAAGAATCAGGAGCTAAGGTGGGTATAGAGTTCAAAACATCCTGAATGAAGCTCAGCAGTGGGCATCAAACACCTCTTCTACTAGGTGATGGGGATCAGAACTCACTTGTACTGTGGTTTACTTGGAAGTTGAGTGGAGATAAGTAATTTAGCCTTTTGGGGCAGGTGTTATGGAGAAATTAACTTCATTGCCACAAAATGCCCAAGTGGCTTAGAGTAATAAGATTGGCTGTCCATATTAACAAGGCTGAATCCTTGTTTGTTTTTAAGCTGACTGATACAAAACTGATAAAAGGCAACTAGTCAAAAACAATTGGTAGTAATGTCAATAAACAGTTCTCCAAAAGGTTATAGTGGGGTTTTTTTTTAAAGTCAAGTTCAGTTAAATGAAGTAAAGGGGAAAACAGGTTGCAAAGGATTATTTGAAGCCAGATGACAATAACCAGAAGATGAAGGAGAAAAACACTCAAATGAAGTCCCCAATCAATGGAAAAACTTATAGCTCTCTAATGAAGTTTCTCGTGAAAAGAGGAGTGACACAAAGCCACCAAGACATGAATCATTCATGGGAAATATAAAAGATAAAAGATATCTGACAATGAACAGAACCTTGTATAGAGTGTATAAAACAAGTTTCCCCTTCTTATTTTCTGCTTTAAAACGCACAATCTCCCACTCCCAGCATCTCTGTCCAGTCTATAGAGTTGAAATTGACCACTGCTCGTCCTGCGCCACTTCAAAGTAATTTAGTCCAGAACGGAAGGCTTGGCGCTTGGACAATCTTCATGGTGTGTTAAGATTTCTATGGCAATTGGCAAGCAAGAGGTTCCCATCTGAATATGTCTCAAAGAAAGCCACTTATTGACACTAAGTTGGCTATCATCAAAGACTTTATCTTGCCTAGGCAAAACGTGGCCCTGGTGGCCCTCTCGAATACTGCTTAAATCATCTACCTTTGTTTTCCAGGCTAGGAGGATCTTCAAACACAGGAGTGTCTGTTGTTTCTGCATGTTTTTCCCCATTTAGGATGCTCCGAAATGCTAAAGTACAGAGAAAGAGCTGGAGGGCAGGCATTATATTCTTTTAAGGAGATGGAGATGACCACACAAGAGGGATAGGAAAAGAGGAGGCCCAAATTCCTTGAAAGCCAAGTCACAACTGATCTGTGACATCACAGTTTTGCCATTTACCCCAAATCTTGCATTTGGAAGCTTTTAGAGACCATAGTGGTTCTCTATCGTCTATCTATCCATCTATCTATCATCTGTCTCTTTCTCTATGAAAAGGAACAAGATGTTCACCTGAACCATTTGTTATTTCAGTTTGGCTGGGACATACAACTGGGCTGGTAGCTGCAGAGACAATATGATTTCTCAAGTGGTCACCTTCAGTCACAGGAAAAGCAAGCTGCACAGAGAAACAAAACAACCCAGACATACGGTAATACTGTCAGCCGGGCACACCACACTGCCCGCTGGTCCCTCCACCAGCAGTCTACCAAAACAGACACACGGCCAGGAAAGCCATCCTTCCAGGGCTGGAGGGTTGGGCGGGAGGTCCACGGCGACTGGGCCCTGGGGTGGTCAGCACTTGCCCTCTGTGAAGAAAAACTTGCAAAAAACTCACACGCTTGTCATCTCCCATGCCCACGCACACACACTCCGGAGCACACATTCACAAAGGCGAGTGCCTAAGCAGGCACAGAGAAGTTCAAAGGCATGTTCTTTGAAATTCAAAGTACTGCTTTTACGGTACATCCACACGGAGTAGGCATTGCTATGGCAATGGGCAGGGCCAGGGGAGTCTGGAAGGAGGGTCCACAGCATTGGAGACACTCTATTAAGATACAGTTGCAGTGACCTTTCCTTTCACGCCAAGTTAGCTCCCTCGATTTTCACCTGATCAGAAATACCTATGCCATATCGCATTGCCTAGATGTAATAGTATATATGTACAGACATATATGTGTCTTTCCGTCCACTTTTTTTTGTTAAGATTTCCCCCTTAGAATCTCCCCGCTTGAGAGAAAGGAGAAAGAATGAGGAGAGGAGGAGAGAAAGGGAGGCGCGGGTGGGGGTGGGTGATGTCAGAGGCGGGGGAGACGGGGGGCAGGGGCGCCCCAGCCCGGGTTCCCCTTCCTTCTCTCCCCACCTAAGTACTTTTATTTGCAGAGCGATTGTTCTTTGTTTATTTAATACAAGTACTGTGTGAATGGTGAAAAATAAACACGATGAAAAATAACCAAACAGATGATTCCTCCGAGTGAAAAAGCCCGGACTTAATAAAAGTGCGAAGCAGTCACCGCTGAATGAGAAACCCTTTGAAGTGGAACTTATTATAGGAGGAATACTTCGGGGTTGCCTTAACGACGCCGCTGAATCGAAAGCGCTCGCCTTTGTCAGCGATTTGTTCTCCTTTGCTGGGGTGCCCGCAGAAATTACTTACATGGGCTGCCTTAACATGCAGCCTGCAAATCAGTAACCTTGCAGCTCAGACTTGCAGACGCCACTGGGCCACGGACAAAAAAGAAGTCAGGGGGAAACGCACCAACCTTTCACGCCGGGTCTCCGGGGATGGGGGCGGCAGATAAGTTGTCTTACAACGGCCCCCACCTTCGGTCCCCACCCCCACTCCACGCCGACCCCTGAGCCTAGGCCAGGGCCCCCCACCCCCTATCCCCCATCCCCGGCTCCCCCGGCGGCCGGGGAAGCTCCGGCCTCTCCAGGGCCCTCCAGCGAGAGGCGCTCTCCGGCGCGCGGGCCGGGCCTGGGACGTTCCCAGCGGCCCGGGCCATATTTAATAAGGGTCGTTTATCACCCAGGCGCTTTGAAGGGTCGCCTCCAGCCCTGCGCCCATTAGAAAGGCGGAGGTGACATTTAAACTCCGTTTTCAAGGCTCGCGGGGGGATTTCAATGAAAAGGCAACTCGTTTGTCTTATGAGCCTGGAAACAACCCCCTTCTCGCTCCTTTTGACCACATGGCATAACTCAAAAACAATAGTTCAAAAGTGAAATGGCATCGTGGCGTTCACTGAGAGACAGGCCCCCATCTAGCACCAGAGAAAAGAGGGAGCCCGCAAGACAATGAGCTTTTTGTGCCTGACTCTGTCACAAGGATTGTGTTGTTTGCTTTGGAGGCTGCGCCTGTTACACTTTCCTGAAAGTGCTTGTGTTAAACAAGAGTTATAAGTCATCCCAAACAACAAACATTTTGATTTTCTTTGCCTAAAGGGCTTTCCCTGGCTATGGGCACCGTGAAAAAATAATGTCCTTGCTGAGAAAGGAACACCAGTAGTAGCATTAGAAGCGGGCGCATTAAATATTGAATGACACGGGGAAAAAGAGCTTGTCGAGGGGGCACTCAGCCTTAAAGTCTTTCTTCAACTTTGTCTTCGCTGGCTGCTGCACTATTTAAGATGGTATTAATTAAGGCGGCTTCGGGTGACGCCGAGCCCGCCTGCCCCTCGGCCGCGCTCGTCAATGGGCCTGTGTCCCCGCGCTCTGCTCACGCGTTGCCTGGGCCGAGTGCAAATGTCACTTCTCATTTGGAGGCTGAAGTGAAGGGCCATCCTGCATTAAGGGCGGCAGGGATGTAGTCGGCAGCAGGCGTTAAAGGAATACGAGGGGCTGGGGGCCGGGGGCGGGGAGGCGGGGACGAAATGGGAACAGCTGCCCTGGGCCGGGGACGAGCGCCCGCCACCGGCGTGCACGGCTTCCGGTACCTTTTGGAGAGGGTTGTTCGGCAAACACCGGCCGCGCGGGCCTCGCTGGGCCGGGACACCCACGCCCTTTTCGAAAGTCTCCTCTTGTGTGGGGACCATCTACACCCCAGCCCTCCAAAAATCGAGCAGGCAGTCTGGCGGGGCGTTCTCTTACAAAGGGAGCAGCTTCTGCAAAAAAAAGACAAAGGCCTGGTGCACACCGGCTTCTTTCCTGGCTGCCTCCTCCCCCCTCCCGCCCCTTCGCGGATCACAAATAAAGCCCCTAAGGGCCTCGGCCCAGGACCTCCTATCCCATTTTACAGACGGTGAAACTGAGACCTCAGGCCAGGCTCAGGGGTTCTTGTCCGTTTTCCCGCGAAAGAGTGGAAAGCAGAGACTCTCATGGAGACCGGAGACCCAGACAAGGGAGGAGTTCTGTTTAAGGGTGCCAACATCCACGTCAAAGATCCCCTTCTCCCCAGTCCCAAGCATTTGATTCAAAGCAAATGGAAGTTGGTTTCAGCAGCTGGAAATTCCTAACATTAAAAAAAAAGAAGAACCTTTACTGCCAACTAACTGTGGCATAAATGCAGTGCATGTTTGAAGAAACTGCTCAGTTCTCCATGAGGAAAGACAAGACTTGGCTGGGGAAAAGGGGGCAGAAGACTCTGGGGGGTTGATTTCTGCAGCCAGATTGCCCCCACGAGGGCCTGTGTCTCCTGGTGTGGGGTTCCAAATGGACATGGGCCTTCTCTTTTATCACACGGTCCCTTGGAGGTGGGGAGAAACTCCGTTAAATGCTCTTTCGTCTGTGTGTGTGTGTGTGTGAGAGAGAGAGAGAGAGAGAGAGACAGAGAGGGGTTTGGACGCTAGATGTCCTGCACAGGCGTCTGGCACCCCTAACTCTGGATTCATTTGCATTATCTGATTCTCCTGAGGATGTGCCCCTCAAGAGCTCCCTGGGTCCCCCGGGGAAGGCGAGGTCACATTTCCCAGAAAGCCATGCTGCAGGAGAAGCAGTTCGAGCCAGGGGGCGGGGATGGGTAGCTGGGATCCGTCGGCCTGGAGACTCGAGCCTGCGGCCTGCACCCTCCGCCCCGTCGGGAGCTGGAGGCGTCGTCGCTCTAGCATGGGGAGCCGCCTGGTGGGGGCCGAGGTGGGCGGTGGGGAGGAGAGGGGCTGGGCCAGACCAGCCCCCGCCCCCTCCGGCAACAGGTCTGCAAAACCTGACACTGGGGCTCACGTGCTCGGCCGCCGACCGGGGCCACCTTTCTTCATCTCTTTTTTTCGGTCCCCTTCTTCCTGACTCTATTTTTTTTTTGCACCAACAGGCCCCAAGTCAGGGCAAGAGATGCAAAAACGTGGCCTTTTGGCCCGGTTCACACTGTCCAGGGCGGCGCGTCCATACACACACACACACACTCGCTCAACTCGCCCCCCCCCGCCCCCGCCCCCGCCCAAGCACTGGGCACACGCCCGGGCTCCAGGCACCTTGCCAAGAACGCGCAAGCACGCTGCGTGGCACAGTGGCTGAAGTTCCTGCACCAAGTGGCGGGGGTGGGGTGAGGAGGGAGGGGGTGGGCGGCGGTGGGCGCCGCCGACTGCTGGCGGGTGCGCACAAGTTCAGTGCTCAACTTCCCGCTCTTAACGAGACCCGGGATCCCTTTGGAGAGGCCCTCGGGAGCCGGCGGCGGGGCTGGGAGTGGCGTGGGTAAGCTGGCCGGCGCGGGGCGCGGGCGGCGGGGCACGGGGGCGCGACAGGAGGAGGGCGCGAGGGTGCCCGCGGCCGGCCGGGCGCTCCGAGAAGTCAGCGCGAGCAGCTGTGACTTCACCTATTAGCCCCGATGTCTTTCCGAGGAGCCTGGTGGAGTTAAACAGCCCACAATGGGCGCTCTGGGGCGCCTCCAGCCTGACCTCCACCCGGGTTTAATAGTTTCATAGGAACTTCATTAAATCAATTACTTAGTGAGCACATCATCATTTATTTGTAATTAGCAGCGAGGAACGCGTTCTCTCCCCCAGCCCCGCGGCCCGGGTCCCAGCGGGGTTGGCGGAGTTGTGCAAGCACTTTTGTTTGCTCGAGTGTTGACTCCCGGCATTATTCGGCCCCGGTAATCTTTACGTCTTAATCTAGCATTCAGGGGGCGAAGGGAAAACAAACAGGGCGCAGGCCAGAGGCCAGCCCTGCGGTGCCGGCCGCGCGCGCAGCACGGCCCTCGCTCCGCGCGCACAGGGCGCGTCTCCACCGCCCCCTCTCCATCCTGCGGAGAAGGCGAGGGACCCACGGGGCAGTTGGAGGGGAATGAGGCAGGCCGGGGTTCGGGGAGGGCGGGAAACTCAGAAGAAAAGTGGCGAAGAAGAGGTGAAGGAGCGCAAAGAGGGAGCCCGGAGCCGGAAAGCACGTCCCGCAAAGCGAGCGCAATAAGGAAATGCCCAGGCTCGTGCGCCTGTGCCAGCAGCGTCGGCGGGAGAGTGCGTTGTGTGCACGTGTGTGCACGCGCAGGGTGTGCGTGAAATCACATCCATTTTCAGCTGCTGGGAGCGGGGCGGGGAGAGGCAAGCGCCAGCGGGAGGTGCCGGCCTGGCGTGCGTGGGGACAGCTCACTGGGTGTCTGAGCTGCCAAAGGGCTTGCATTTGGGGGAGACTGCAGCCCGGAGCAGAGCTCCATCGCAGCCCACAAATTGCGAGCGAGTGGTTAGCGATCGGGAGCCGGGGGGGGGGGGGGTGTTGCTGAAAGCTGAGCCGAACCTGCGCGTGCGGAGCGATGCGAGTCGTGGCCCCGCGAGTTGTTGATTCCTTTCGGGTGTAATTGTCGTTCCCCACACGTCGCGGCGCCGGCCGAGAAGCCGGCGGGTCGCGGGGGTCTTGGCTGCCGGGGGCCAGAAACGTGGGCGACGCTGAAACGTCGCTGCGTCCCCCCGCCGGGCACCCGATTTCCGCTCGCGGTTTCAGAAGTCCCTCTGGCACAGGAAACGCTCCACTAACAGCGGGAGATCCCAGCGCAGGAAATGGGGGCGGTGGCGGGGGAGGCGAGGGGTCACTGACGATCCGGCTCAGGTTCTCAGGAGCCGGCCAGTATGCACAGCTCAGAGGTTAGCAACCGGCTCGTGGGACCCCTCCCTGCCCCTACCCCAGGAGTGGGCTTCCAGAAGCAGCCCTGATCCCAGATGATCCCTGAGGTTCGTCTCCCAGGTGGCCCTCCTGTCTGAATTTTTGAGGAGAGGGTCTTGAATTTCTCCACCGGCTTTTGTGGCCAGGCCTGTCTAATCCAGGTTGGTATCTGGAGGCGGTGGTTTTTATCCTGTTGGCTCAGTGTGGGCCCAGAGAGAACCTGGTGCATCAGTGGGTGGGGGCTTGGTGACCTGATCTGTCCTGGGGGGAGTGGGGAGGGAGGCCCCAGGGCCTGGCTGCAGTGGTCTCCTGGGAGTGGCAGCTTTGTTTGCCTGGGACCCTCAGATGGGCTCTCCTGGGGCCTCCAACTGGGAGAACTTGTACCCATGACACCACCTTGAGGTGCAGAGACCCCCACCGAGGCTCCCCGCCCCGCTGATGCTGACCCACCCTGGATTGTCTGAGAACTTGGGTCAGCGGGAAAAACAGGAAGTGTATCCAGAAAACAACCTACCATCCCCTGGCAGGGCAGCCATGGGGAGAATCACCCTTTAAAACATAAGCACACTTTGCAACTTGGCATACTTCTTCCCACCCCCCAAGGCGATCCACGCTGACATAGTCAAAACGGTCAGGCTTCCAGGATTACCAGCCAAAGCAAATACGTATGCATAAAGCAAAACACAATCTTCTTACATATATCTCCAAACACTGTAAACACCAGCCCTCCTTAGAACCTGTTGGCCATGTTTCTGCTCTGATATAATGAATACTTACGCGGGTTAAATGTATGTTTGATCTTTCATACAGACACAGAGTTCCAGTACATTTAAATCCAACCTTGCATATGATCAGGGCCTACCCATCCTGCACCTAAGCAAGTTTTGGGACAGCCTTGAAGGAAGCAAAACTGAGAAAGCCTCCTTTTGAAAATAACAGTAACATGGAATTCACCCTGATTTGTCTCTCTCTGCTTCTTCCCCTCAACCTTGCGGCAACCCCCCCACCCTCCCCCAGCTTCAACAACGTTTAATAAAACAGCATCATCGTAGGAAAGCCAGTCCCGCAAGCACTTTATGAGCTGGCAGTGACTTGGGTGAAGCAGCTGATGTAGCAAACCTGGATGCTGGCTGCAGTTTTCCTAGATAGGCAGATCCGGCTTTTCTCTGCCTGCTCCAGGTCCTGACAGCTTCAAGCCATCAGCTGGCTCACATCTCACACTCTGTTCTCCTTCTGTCTTTACTGGGCTGCGGGGCATGGGCACCCAGCCCTGACCAAGGCCCTGGCTTCACAGTGGGAGCCCTGCATTTGCTCCCCACCTCCTTCCAGTGGGCCTGCCCTGGCAGGAGGTGAAGGACCCTTCAAGCCTGCTCCCCTTATTTGTCTGGGGCCCCTGGCCCTTGGGCCCATCACCCTGAAAACAAATAGAAGTCTGCTCACATTGTGTCCTTGTCCCCGTGGAGGACTCTGAACAGGCTATTTCCTCACTGGCTGCAGGATGCCTCTTCCTGACCTGCAGGGAAAAGAGAGCCGGCCGTGAGAGACTGCAGACGCAAAGCTGACCAAGGCGTGTGTGACTGACCCCGGAGCCTGCTCGGGAGAAATGGCGCGTCAGGAAAATTTAAGGGAGGGCCAGGGGAGACTTGGAATTTCGGAGCTTATGCCAACTGTTTGTCTCCTTGTTGACTGCCCCCAAGGCGCAAGCATTAGAAAACCTGTGTTCAAGGTCTTGTGTCTGCTGTGTTACTGAGTGAAGTATCTGGGCACCCCTTTCTGCCTTCAGACTCGACGGCATGGGTATCTGTGTATCTGTGAGGGGCAAAATCGTGATGGGATTCGAGGCAAGTGCAGGCAAACGCTGCAGTCCGGCCAGTGCCATCCCCCCTGCCGCCATTTTCCTCACCTTTGACTTTCTAGACCTTTGTAGCAACCGCATAAATCCAAGGGCTGAGGTGGTCCAGAGGTAGAAAGGTGCCTTGAAAAGAACCAGTGTCCTTGGCCACTGGCCAGGAGACTGGGGTGTTGAGTTAGATCCTTCCAATCTGAAGAACGCCTGTTAGGAAGGAGCAGAGAAATGATATCATGAAAAATATCCTTCTGGCTTCTTACATTCCTTTAATGGGAAGGCTTCCCTGGACTGCATGCCTGTCTGGAGAATTGTAGACATGAAACTTCCCATTTCCTTAAGAAGGAAGGCCGCTGTGGGCCTGTTGGGGGA